CGGAATTACTCGAAAGAAAATACCTGTTAACTTCACTTACTCTATGAACAGTAAAATCATATCACAAGTCCCTTCCACAACTTACTTGGGAGTAACAATCACTGATAACTTGTATTGGAATCAACACTGCGATAATATCTGCAACAAGGCAAACTCCACCCTTGGCCCTCTTAAACAAATCCTTTCCGGTTGTTCTTCCCAGGTAAAGAATACTGCATATTGCTCGCTTGTTCGTCCTAAATTGGAATATGCGAGTAGGGCGTGGAATCCATATAAAAAGTGCAATGTAAAGGTAAAGAATACTGCATATTGCTCGCTTGTTCGTCCTAAATTAGAATATGCGAGTAGTACGTGGAATCCATATAAACAGTACAATGTCAATAAGATAGAGATGATCCAACGGCGTGCCGCAAGGTTTGTCAATAATGATTACTCTCGTCACAGTAATGTCTCTCAGATGATTAAATCACAAGGATGGGATTCTTTGGAACGTCGAAGACTGATAAATCAAACCTGCATGTTCTACAAAATCTATAGGGGCCTTGTTGGGATCTCGCTACCATCCGAGATAATGCAAGATACCAGACCATCAAGGTACCCAAATTGTGTACCATTCCAACAGCTTTGCACCTTGAATGACGCATACAAATATTCCTTCTACCGCAGAACGATCAGAACTTGGAACAATACGAACTTACCTCAAATCCCTAACTCTCTAGATGATTTCAAGGCCAATGTGTCCTTATATATTTAAAGACAGTAGAGCTTTTATTTACATGGTGTATATTAATTTTAATTATTTATTTTAGAAATATTGTTTTATAATCAATGTTATTATTTATGTTATTATCATCACTATTTTAATACTTTTAAATATAGTTATAAGTTATATACTGTAAAAACTCCTAGTATAGTTTTAACTGTTTTAGGAGTAAACCCATTAAAGCATTAAAACATATCTGCGTGGCCCGTACGACGAAATAGCTTCAGGGGATTGGATAAGTTTCAGTTGCAACAAATTGTACAAAAAATCTAAAAAGATTTAAGCTTACATCTCATCTAACGCTTAAAGCGACATATCAATGCCTGCAACCATTATGTTTTATACGAACCTCGCAAACTTTTAAACACGTTCTCTTGTGATACCTGCGAAAGTATTCAGTATAATTCCCAGTAAGATTTCGCGGACAATCTGATCGATTTCTCTTAGATTGTGTGCTGAGACTGAAACGTTTCACCTCGGGCAAAGCTTCGTCGCACGGCCCAAACAAACAGCGAGCAACAGAGCTTGTTGTATATGTGCGTGTTAAAACACACGAAAGGACACTTCACTCTGATTGGGCAGAAAAACACAAAGATTTTCTGGCACCAATCAGATGCCAGAACGACTGCGACCGTTTGGAACTAGTCTTGTAAGACAATGTCCCCAGGGGCTCTTCTGCCCTTAACTTGAAATCGACTCACAGCCCCTGGGTCTCCGAGGATG